TTGAGACAAAGTAAAGGACACTGAAGATTCGGTGCATTAATTGGCAAGCAGTGGTTAATAGAAGGGAAAGAAGATTATGATTATGTGGACAAAAGATTTGGTGTCAATAGATGGACTAAAATGAACCAAAAAGAGAGTATTGAACCGAGAGAAGATGTTTAACTCTGAGGGGATTTTGGTATATTAACTGATAAATAGTGATTAACCGAAAGGATGGGTGTGGAACCAAGCGAAGGTTATTACCCAAAGGACGGGTGTAGAACCAAGAAAATGTTGTGACATAAAGGATGGGTGTGGAACCAAGCGAAGATTGTGACCCAAAAGGAGCTCGGTGCACAGACTGAACAAGCAGTACTTGACCGAAGAAAGGGTATTTGAACCAAAGAAGGTTACTAACCCAAAGGTGTGAGTGTTTGAACCAAAGAAAGGTTGCTAAGCGTTGGGGATACTAGTTTTAACAGAAGGACTATGATTAACCAAAATAATGAGTGATTAACCAAGAGACGATGATTAACTCAAGAGAAGCTCAGTATGTTAACAGATGGACTGTGGTTAACTGAGGAACGGGTGATTAACCAAGAGGTGATTAACACAAGGAGTATTAGTTTTAACATGCAAACTGTGATCAACCAAAGAACGGGTGATTAACCAAGAGAAGGTGATTAACCCAAGGGGAACTCAATATGTTAACAGACAGACTGTGATTAACTGAGAAAATGAGCAATTTGGTGTTTTAACTGACAGACAATGATTAACCAAACAAGAAGGGAGATAGAACCCAAGAGAATGTTGTGAACTCCGCTAGAGATTCGGTACTTAACAGGGAGACTGTGATTAACCGAAGAAAAAGGGTTACGACTTTACCGAGGAAGAATAGAATTGGTTTTAGCAGGCAGATTGTGATCAACCAGAGAATAGGTGATTAACTCAGAGGAGGTGATTAATCCAAGGAAGAAACAATGATCTTGAACCAAGGAAAAGGTAATTGATCAAAGGAAGGATTGAAAGGAAAGAAATATCAAGGATCAAACTCAAGAGACACAATAATTTGGATATAGAGGTGACTATTATGAGTTCAGGGTCAAGCACCCCTGACCAAAAATAGCCAGAATGAGGGTAGGGTATACTTTATCCTCACTCTTTCTCTAGAACCCAAAGTATAGTGCGGAAGATGAAATCGATAGAGAAGCGATGCAAGTTGTAAAGTGCTCCAATGCGTTGCGTAGACCTCCGACTCAGTAGGGGATTTAGAGAACAAGGCTCTAAAATATCCTAAAGAGAAGAAATGGGGAAGATCAACTAAGCGAAACAAGGTTTCGATCAATTAATCAAAAGGGAGAGAACAAGCCAACAATCTTTCAAGCGAAATGAAAGATCATCAAAGCAAATATGCGGATGATTGATTATAAAAGATTAAACTTGCTCAATGAAGAACAAACTTAGTATGATCAAGAATGAAATTGCAAGGCAGTACCAAATGTCAATTAGCATGCATCACAAATCTTGTTATCATCTAAGCAAAATGTGCAAGAATTAACATGATCATACAGTGTCAAAATATGCAAACAATTCCAAGAATTGACAAATCGTGCATCAAAAGTTTGCACACATGCTTCAAATAGAAGTTGAACAACTCATAAAACATCCACAAATATCAAGCATATCAAGCCATGGAAGTTAAATGAGGAAAGAATATCAAACAAATTTGAAAAAGCACAAAAATGGCCCTTTGTCTCAGTGGTAATCGATTATCTGCATATGGTTAATCAATTACCTGCTTGAAAACTTCATAAAAACGTGGAAAAAAGGCAGGGTAATCGATTACTCATATATAGGTAATCGATTACCACTGTGACAGTGGCGAAAAAATAGCTTTCCAAAAGCACTTCCAGCAACTAATCACTTATCCAACCATCCACATGTTATGGCATGCGTTTGTGCATAAAAATTAAGTCCAAAATCAACAATTAAGCATCAATAGAATCAATTAATCATCAAGATCAAGAATCAAAATAATTAAATGATCAATTCACATCAAAAAGTTATTGAAGCTACATCCTAAACGCCCAAAATTGATCGAAAACAGTAAATCGAGTGCGAATTACCAACCTACAAGGCGGAGGACTGCCTTAGTGATTGTTGCTAGTGATATGTGATGAGAATAAGCCAAGAAAACCATAGAATTCCAAGCTTGAGGTAAAATCATAGCGAAACCGATCGAAACGTGGTAAAAGCTCTAAAATTGAATTTGCACCGAAACGATTGAATCGATCACTTGAATTGAAGTTAAAGTTGATGTAACTGTAGAGATCCAAGAAGAAATGCAATGAGATGGAGGTTTAAGCTCAAGAGAAAAGCAATTTCAATGTGAAATTTGCTACTCTTCAATGGTGAGAATTGAGCTCTAGTGTGGTTTTGAGAAGAAAATGAAGATGAATGTGAAGAAATTGTAGAAAATGCAGAGGGAATTGAGAGAACTAGAGAGTGAAAAGTGAAGAATTGTGAGAATGGTTGAAGGTCCTTTGTGAAATGTTGAAGGTTTCTTTATATAGAAGCTAGCTTAGGAGTGACTAGGTTTGGAATTTGCTTTGGAGTTTGCTTTGGTACTAGCTTTGGAGTTAGTTACACTTAACTCCCTAAGTCAGAATTTGACTCAGTTAGTTATTTGTTAACTCGGTGGAGTAATCCCAATGCAAGTCCAAATCAAATGGTCTTCATATTTGGAAATGAAGTTACATGGTAGTCTTGATTCAAAGTGATGTATTGGAATAAATGCCTTGAAGTGTTTTAAAAGGTCTTGAAATGTTTAGAATATTCCACACAATGCTAGAACCAAGTAAACCCCAAAGAAGTAGTGGAAAAGTTATTGTCATAAAAATGCAACAAAATATGCCCATTTACATGTGGTAATCGATTACTTCATTTTTCTTAGCAAAGTGGTAATCGATTACCACAGGCAAAACTTGCCTAACTTGCTTAAAAAAGTGTTGTGGCCATGATTCTGATTTTCACCCTTTTGCTTTGATGAATGGGCATGGAAACCCTTATATTTTGCTTGTGTTGATAACGTGATGACCTTGTGAGGATGCAATTAATCGGGCTTAGCAGACCTGAATATTTCTGCAACAAAACCACATGCTAGTGCGTATGTCATCGATGCGAATGCACATGCTTATGCAAAAGGCAAAAGAGAATGTCAAATTTCGGGTTACGACAGACTCTATATAGATAGAGGAGATGTTTGTTGATTATCATAGTCATCTTGTACCGAAGGAGGCTTGGGCTACCATAGCGCCGAATGATTAGAGCTACGTCGACGGATACATCAGGTGGTTCTTCAGGGTCTCACATTCATACATGGTGCCGAATGCTCTAAGAGATCCGCTGAGACCCGCTCATCAGAAAATTCTAGAAGAGGAGCAGGCTCAGCTGGATCATACTGAGGATGTCTTGTCTCATTGTTGTCGTATAATGGAGATGGCGCTGGGAGGCATTGACGAGGGTATCTTTCTTGAGGGTTTGTTGTCATGCGAGTACTGGATGACATTATTGCAAAGGCACATGGGGCACTTTTGTACCGCAGACATCGCGCAAGGACAAGGGGGATCGATGGTCGGGTTTACAGACCAGGCAGAGGAGGCAGAGAAGAGGTTGTCAGACACACTCAGTAGTTGTCTGTATTTATTTTGTTTTAGTACTATAGTTTGTACGTTTTTCTGACATTATTACTACATTTGGATTTGCGTGACGTATGACATCCTACTACTATATTGTTATGTTATTTTTGTTTGTCTTATTTTATAATTCATCTGCGAACAAATACACAACGTATTTTTTATATATAAAAAAAAACCTGTTCTGATACACTTCGGAGATGTATCTTTGGAAATTTCCCATAGATGCATCTCCGAAAATATTCAATTGGAAATGATCCATGGGAGATGTGTTGTGACTATTTAAGATTTAAATTATTCTGGAGATATATCTCCGAAAAATTAGTCAGTCAGAGATATATCTCCGAAATCTTAAAAAATATATGAAAAATCACATGCTAGAAAAGAAATGCATGAGATGCAATAAAAAATTTCTTAATTTAATGCTAAAGAGAAAAATAAAAAAAGAAAATGAAACAACAAATTTCTATTAATAGTTTTTTTTTTCATTTGGATGTATTAGATTTTGACGATAGAACCCAATATAATAGAAGTAATAGGTAGGAGAAGGAAAAATTAGTGGAATTTGGAAATACACTTCTGGATTTATTCTGAAAGGGTATTTTCAAAATTTTATTTTTTTACAAATTATTAGAAACTTATTTATTTATTCATGAATTTAGTTCCAAACTTTTTTTTTACAAATTATTAGAAATTTATTTATTTATTCATGAATTTAGTATATTTGAAGTGCATATAAAAATGCATCTTCGAATTCTAAAAATATTTTTAGCTTTTTAAAAAGAGGTGGTAGTAATTCTTAGTGTCTTAATTAATTCCCTTGGACAATTGTTCTACTTCCTATAGAAGCACTTTGTATAAGGAATGAACAACAATTATATATTTTAGGTTACAAACAACATTTTATGTTCTTAAAATTTCTCTCAATTAGTGTTAAAAACACGACCACTAAAATATTATTTTACATTACTTTACTCTCACTGCCTCGTAATAATTGGCATATTTATAAATAATCTGTCTTAAAATAAATATCATGATATTAATTAAATCTTCACAATTGTATTCTTAATTAATAATATATGCGTCATTTTTAAATTAATATTTTTTAATTTACATTTATGATAATATTAATAAAGTTAATTTCTCAAAAATAGGCAAATGTTACAACTATTGTGTGACGGGTGACAAATAAATGAAAAATAAGCTATCATAATTCAACCTCAACCTATAACCACATCCTCCTTTTTGAGTCAATAATGCCAATACAACCTTGAAAAACAACTTTGACTGGATATTTAAGGACAATCTGCCATAACATCAGAGTGCTTAGTACCTTCTTATTACCCTGAAGAATCAATTGCCAATCACGGGAAAAACAGTTAATACTAAAGAAATGTGCATTTAGTTTAATACATATAAGAAACAACAATAAAACTGCTTTGTAAATTACCTCCCCAACCGAGTCAGTTCAGGTTCTGCTAGTAGCATATCTTGCAATGGTTTCACGTCCATTATTCTGTCAGATATATAGAAACAGCAAATTTGATTAATGTAAATAAGTTATTGATATTTATTTATAAGGGTTCAATCCCTGACGACAGGATGTATTTATATCTATGTATTAATGTAAATAAATTGTTTATTTATATCTATGTATTAATGTAAATAAATTGTTGATTTTTATAAATCAACAACTTTTGAAAAATTTACAGACACTCTCCATCAATGAAATATCAGAAATGCATGAAACATGAAAGAAGACATAAGTCACACAGACTCCACCCGAAGAATCATGATATTCGTGACTTAGGAAAATATGCTACGGATTCAATAAAAAGATATAAACCTTACCCATATATATGATCCATTGAAAGTAGTCTGTGGCGAAGTTTATAGTCACTGCCAACATAAGTAACAGTCAGGCTACCAGCATCTGGATGGGGCCAGCTTCTTGAGGTTGGGAACCAAAGTATAAAAGTACCAGGTTCTTGAAATCCTCCCGGACCTTGAAGTGAAGCTTCTGCCTCCTCCTTGGTGATGAATCCTTCAATCCATTTAGGTGACATGGAATTCCATATAGGATTTACCCAGTCCCTGGATAATGCGCATGCTACAGGGTACAACCAGCACCACAACTTCTCAAAATTCTCTTGTGTTAAATACTCTTCACATCCAGCAATCTTTCTTAGAATCTCGAAGTCCTGCAACCATTACAAAAACAATGGAACTTTGGCAAGACTCAAACTATGATGTATTTATAGCATTATATTAGTAACCATAGTGAAGTACTGGTGTAATGTAATACAAATTACACAACTTCTAGGAACTCAATTTTTTTTAATAGAAGTAACTTACACAAGTTATAAACAATCAAAGGTGTAGTAGTATGTTATATAAATTTATGATAATTATTTTCCATAAAAAAGAAAACAATATTTTAAAAAAAAGGACCTGATGGGAGAGAGATCTTGACCCACAAGAAGCAATCTTCATGAATTTCTCTTCAATCTCATACACCGCTCTTTCCCAAGGAACGTGGCTTTTGTTTGGAGACATCGCCATCCAAAGATTAGTTCCATCTTCTATCAGCCTCTTAGAAATTAATATTTGGTTTCTGATTTAAAAACAATGCCAGTAATTTTAATGAGGAAACATGCTGGGTAATTGCAGTAAACACAGTTACTTAATATTGAATAAAAAGAAATTAGTACTTCTTGTTATACTAGGGTTGAGTTAGGGTCAGCCCTAAACATTAGATGGTATAGAATTTATTCAAGATTTGTTTGATCACTCGTTACTGGGCTGCACTGATCACGCTTCAAATGTTCAGTCCTAGATGTGAAGTGAGGTGTTAAGAGAGCCAGAGTAGATGTGATATGGCCTGGAATAGTGTTATAAAGGGAGATATCCATCATTTTACAATCCCACTTTGTGAGGAGATACCCATCATTTCACAGTTCTCTGATACCATGTTAGAATGTTGAATATTAGCCATAATTCTCTTGGAATCAATGGAGAAATCTGAATTGTAATTGATTGATTGTTAATTACACTAGATTAGTTCTTATTTATAGATCTAGTTGCTGACCTGCTGTAACAGGTAAGATCTAGGTCTGTTTTAACTATAACTAACTGTATTAGACATTTCAGTTACACTAGATTAGTTCTTATTTATAGATCTAGTTGGTGACCTGCTGTAACAGGTAAGATCTAGGTCTGTTCTATTTATAGATCAGTTACTTACAAGCTGTTAGGTCTGTTTTAACTATAACTAACTGCATTAGACATTTCAGTTACAGTTAGTTACAAGGTTATGTTAGTGTACATTAATCCTACAGTAAGCTCATGTGAGCTTACTTAATAAATCCTACAATTTTACTCGTGTGAGCTTACTTAATAAATCCTACAATTTTACTTGAGTAACTCCTTCAATAGGCTGACAACATGGATCCTGGTTTCATTAAAGCGTGCGAGATAATCCTTTAAAGATTTTGATTGTTGTTGACCAACAATAAAAAGGCTAGTCTCCTTCACCTTCTGCTGTTTTCTTGCCGAGAATTTGAAGCCTGCCACTGAATGTCGAGGTAAGTAAATAAACCCTCTTAACGTGCCTCCTTTAAGAGTACCTGAAAAGAGTTTGCATTTTATGTTTAGTGGCTCCGCAAAACAATTATGGTCGCCTGGGTGTTGAAAGTCACAAGGTGCTCTCAGGAATTGTGTTTTCTGTCAAATGATTCTAAAGGAGGGGATTTGAAGTTTTCTAGGCTGGAGCATATAAGAATTTCTGAGTCAGGGGCTAAGGGACATTCAGCTCAATCTGTCTCATCTTACTCATCTTACTGGTCACGACCTTTCTGTATTGCTTGGACATTGTTGGAAAATATTTTGTTTTCTCATTTAATTATTTCCGTTTATTTTCATTTATTTTTCTTTTTCTCCATTAAAGAGAGAATTAATTGTGATAATTGTATTTTCACTATATAAATCAGCCTTTGACTTATGAGAAATAAGATATAACAGCTTTTTATCTATTATTTTCAATATGGTATTGTTGATATTTGGAAATATATTTAGTGTTAAGAATATTTGTATATAGAATAGTCCCACATCGACTATATCATGTAATTAGTTGTAATCTATTTATATATAATAATGTCTCCGTAGTGCTTTTCAAAAACACACGGTTTATTCAAATGTCTCTTAGTCTCTTGTATTTCAACATGGTATCAGAGCCTCGTTTAAGATCCGGTGGGCCACCTTCTATGGTTTCCGCTATCGGGCCACCCACCATTTATTACAAGGTTTCCGCTATCGGGCCACCCACCATTTATTTCCACGCTTCAGTTGTCCAGTCCTGAGCGTGAGGGGGTGTGTTAAGAGTCCCACATCGGACAATATATGGCATGAACACGTGTTTATAAGTGGGGGCAATCCTCACTCTACCAGCCGGTTTTGTAGGGTTGAGTTAAGCCCAACCACACTTCTTAACATGGTATTTAGAGTCTGCTAAGAGGCAATTCTTTCTTCGCCGTGCTTTACCCGGTTGACCCACTGTCTTCCGGTGAGAATTTTTTTTTGCAAACCGTGTTGTCACTCTGGTTTGCCTCACTTCTTTGGTGATCACCTTGCCGCCGTTACATCGGGTTTCAACATTCTCCATTATTAACCGCATAGCCGCCATCGCTATTATTCTCGGCGACCTTCCGGCAAACTTTTTCATTGGTAGAAACCTCCACACGCGCCACTTCCGTCTCCGCACGTGTCAGCACGTCCGGCGACCGATCGCGTGATATTTTCTCTCTTCAGATACTCATGGCTACTCCTTAGAACTTTACGCCAAACTATGATGATTTCCTCAAGTGGTATCAGAATTATCATAACTCAGATTCTACTGCTACGGTAACACACACTGGTAATTCATCTGTTTGTCTCTCATCTCCTCTTCGACCTTGGGTCCTTGATTCTGGTGCGTCTGATCATGTTACTGGTAATAAAAATTTATTCTCTTCCCTCTCTACCTCTGGTTTCTTGCCTACTATAACTTCTGCCAATGGTTCTCAAACCCGATCCGAAGGGATTGGTACTGTTCAAATTCTACCTTCTCTATCTGTTACTTCTGTCCTCTATGTACCTAATTGTCCATTTAATTTACTTTCAGTCAGTCGTTTAACTCGTTCTCTTGATTGTAGTATCACCTTCACTAACAATAATGTTACCCTGCAGGATCGGAGTTCGGGAAAGACGATTGGCGTCGGATATGAGTCTCAAGGCCTTTACTACCTCTCATTGTCATCTCAGACATGTTTAACCAAAGATTCTCCACTCACTATCCATGCTCAGTTAGGTCATCCCAGTCTTTCCAAATTACATAAGTTGGTGCCAAATTTATCGAAGGTATCTAATTTACATTGTGAGTCGTGCCAGTTAGGGAAACACACTCGTAGTCAATTTCCCAATCGAGTCAACAAACGAGCTTCGTCCCCTTTTGCTTTAGTTCACACCGATGTTTGAGGTCCCTCGCGTACTGTCTCTACTCTTGAGTCTAGGTATTTTGTCACCTTTATTGATGATTTTTCACGTTGCACGTGGTTATTTTTAATGAAGAATAGATCTGAATTGTTTTCAATTTTTGAACAATTTTATCGAGAAATAAGAACCCAATTTGGTTTGTCTATTCGTACCTTAAGAAGTGACAATGCACGTGAATATTTATCCCAACAATTTCAAACATTTATGTCATCCAATGGTATTTTGCACCAAACATCTTGTCCTCATACACCCCAACAAAACGGGGTAGCCGAACACAAAAATCGGCACCTCGTAGAAACCACTCGGACCCTACTTCTCCATAGTAATGTTCCTCTCCGGTTTTGGGGAGATGCGGTGCTCACGGCATGCTACCTCATAAATCGCATGCCCTCATCGGTCCTTAATAATAAAATCCCTCATTCAATCTTGTTTCCAAACTCTCCACTCCACCCAATTCCTCCTCGAGTCTTCGGGTCTACGTGTTTTGTACACAATCTCTCCCCTGGTCTTGATAAACTATCAGCTCGATCACTAAAGTGTGTCTTTCTTGGCTATCATCGATCGCAAAAGGGTTATCGTTGCTACTCACATACTCTACAACGATACCTCGTATCGGCCGATGTTACCTTCTTCGAGTCTGTTCCATATTTCGAGTCCAGCCAAGTAACTACGGAACCTCTACAGGAAAGTATTCCGACACCTCTTCCGGAAGTCTCATCTGTCATTATCCCCCATCATTCTAGGGAACCTGACCCATTAGATACCCCTACGGTTGACCCCCCCACTCCTCGCCCACTTCAAACATATCAGCGTCGTCACCCAACGTCTGTCATACCTGTCCCTGTCCCTGAAGTCGTATCTGTCCCTGAAGTCGTACCTGTCCCTGAGGTCACTACGGACTCTCCTCCGACGCTCTCGCCATCACCGGATCCGATCCTGCAACCTGAGTCTGATCTTCCGATTGCCCTTCGAAAAGGTATACGTCAAACACGAAAGCCTTCTCCACATTATATTGATTTATGTTATCATCGTCTTTCCCCTTTGCAGTATACTTGTTTGTCTTCTTTGTCTTCTGTTTCTATTCCTAAAACTCCAAGTGAAGCATTATCTCACCCTGAGTGGAGGCAAGCAATGATTGATGAAATGTGTGCTCTTCAAAGCAGTGGTACCTGGGAATTGGTTCCTCTACCCCGTGGAAAATCTTTAGTAGGTTGTCGTTGGCTTTATACAGTGAAAGTTAGTCCAAATGGTAAGATTGATCGATTTAAAGCTCGCTTGGTTGCCAAAGGATACACTCAGATTTTTGGGTTGGATTATACCTTTTCGCCTGTAGCCAAAATGGCATCTATTAGACTTCTTCTAGCCATTGCAGCCATTCGACATTGGTCTCTTCATCAACTTGACATTAAAAATGCATTCTTACATGGTGATCTTGAAGAAGAAGTATATATGGAGCAACCACCTGGGTTTGTTGCTCAAGGGGAGTCATCAAATATGGTGTGTAGGCTACACAGGTCTCTTTATGGTCTTAAGCAATCCCCGAGAGCTTGGTTTGGCAGATTCAGCACTGTAGTACAACAATTTGGTATGATACGTAGTGAAGCTGACCATTCTGTTTTTTATCGTCACTCACCCCAAGGGTGTATTTATCTTATTGTGTATGTAGATGACATTGTCATAACTGGTAGTGATCAGCAGGGAATACTCCAGTTGAAACAACATCTCTCGAAACAATTTCAGACAAAAGATCTTGGTAAGCTCCGTTATTTCTTGGGTATTGAAGTAGCTCAATCTAAAGATGGTTTAGTGATTTCTCAGCGGAAATATGCTATGGATATTTTGGAAGAAACAGGTTTGTTAAATGCTAAACCAGCCGATACTCCTATGGATCCAAATGTTAAACTACTACCGAATCAGGGGGAGCCTCTATCTGACTCAGGAAGGTATAGGAGATTGGTTGGAAAGTTGAATTATCTCACAGTCACTCGTCCGGACATTTCTTTTGCAGTCAGTGTGGTAAGTCAATTCTTAAATTCCCCTTGTCAGGAACACATGGATGCTGTTATCCGGATTCTGAGATACATC